GATAAGAAGAAGAAGCGCAGGAGGAAGGAGAGCTATGCTATCTACATTTATAAAGTGTTAAAGCAAGTCCACCCCGATACTGGTATATCATCGAAAGCCATGAGCATCATGAACAGCTTCGTGAATGACATATTCGAACGTATTGCTGCTGAGGCTTCGCGCTTAGCACACTACAATAAGCGCTCCACCATTACTAGTCGGGAGATTCAAACTGCTGTTCGTCTTTTACTTCCCGGTGAACTGGCTAAGCACGCAGTTAGTGAAGGAACAAAAGCTGTCACTAAGTATACTAGTTCCAAGTAAATTGCGTTATATCAAACAAACACCACTTATTCAAAAGGCCCTTTTCAGGGCCACAAAAATATTCAATTGAGTTGATAATTTATCTATATTATAAATATGTATAGAGCCCTGAAATTATTTACGAAAACTGACAGGCTTATCAACACCGCGTTATTGAATCTCAGAATGGTTACAAGCTCCTCGGGGAGGTATGCAGATCTGATAAAGTTATAAACAATAATCCAGACAAGGCGTAAAGAGGGGTTAAGAAGAAACCTCGTAGTTAATAGAAAGTAAAAGTGCTCAAGTGCACTGACTCAACTAGCCTCAACATAATAATAATATAAATATGATATATATTTTGTTTTTGATATTTCTTTTAAAAGGCTACTGATAGAAGAAAAAAATAAAAAAAAACTTTGACAGTCTCTTCATGAATTATCAGCTATCGTTTGGTTGTTAGTGAATAAATGATTCAATCAACAAATTAATTTCTGTCGGTTTTGAGGATCTTACAGTTTTTTAATCATGGATAATATAACCTGCTAAATAGAGTTAACTCTTGAATTAACGAGTCTTAATCCTTATCATCAGTCTTAGTACTATCATCGCTTTTAAATTGATATATTCTATATTTACATTCGTGCTTTAAATTTGAAAACATAAATATAGTATTTGTTCCTTGTCATTCATTCTATGATACCATACAATTTCATGGGATAGATAAGCTCTTTTACAACTCATTCCTTAAGCGTTCTTTTAGTAAGTTCAAGTCTTACATTATGGCTTCTGATGCTTTCTGCTTACAGCAAAAGAAAAATAAAATATATTGATTCAATTAAATGTTATGACGTGAAACATTCTATGTCTAATGATACACTATATGATACTAATAATAGTATACATATGATGCTAACATTATACATATTAATATATGTTATGCTACTTCTAATAGCAATGTCTATACTACATCTATATGATATAATTTATCATTATCTCTTTTCTTTGAATAAACTTACTATGCAACAATTGCATTTACATTTTGCTTATTTTATTTTCGTAGTCAAAAATAAGCAATTGAAAATAGTTAAGCAATTTCAAACCCTGGATAAGTCATGTCATTTATTTATCTCTTTTCTTTATATAATTTTGGTCCTGAAAAGGACCGATTTTTGTATATTTATAAAATTATATTGCTTCCAATCTTAAGCACGTTCTCCACGAATACGTCTAGCCAATTGAATATCTTTTGGCATAATTGTAACGCGTTTGGCATGAATTGCGCATAAGTTAGTATCTTCAAAAAGACCCACTAAGTATGCTTCGCTAGCTTCTTGAAGAGCCATTACAGCAGAACTCTGGAAACGTAAATCAGTTTTGAAATCTTGTGCAATTTCACGGACCAAACGCTGGAATGGCAATTTGCGAATCAAGAGTTCAGTACTCTTTTGGTAGCGACGAATTTCACGTAAAGCTACAGTTCCTGGACGATAACGATGTGGTTTTTTCACACCTCCAGTAGCTGGTGCACTTTTACGTGCGGCTTTGGTAGCCAATTGTTTTCGTGGTGCCTTACCACCAGTCGATTTACGAGCAGTTTGCTTTGTACGAGCCATAATTTATGAGATATGTTACAATATGGTATTTTAAAAAATAGCGCAATTGAATAGCTCAATTTTCTCATCATACCTGGATGTTCTGTTTCAACTATTCACATGTTTTAACATTCATTGTTTCTCATATTGCTTATTCTTTTTGTTTTGTTTTCTTTTGTTTTGTTTTGTTTTACTCAATCTTTTTCATATCTTTCGTAGTGCTTATGTTTTCTATAAATAGTCGTCAATCATCTGTCGTCACTTCATTTATTGTTTGAATTTGAATTCGAACGGTTCTACCATATCTATAAAAATTTAAATACAAAATGACTGGTCGTGGTAAAGGTGGCAAAGGATTAGGAAAAGGTGGTGCTAAGCGTCACCGCAAAGTTCTTCGTGATAACATCCAAGGTATTACGAAACCAGCTATCAGACGTTTAGCTCGCCGAGGCGGAGTTAAGCGTATTTCTGGTTTGATTTATGAAGAAACTCGTGGAGTATTGAAAGTATTTTTGGAAAATGTGATCCGTGATGCTGTTACATATACAGAACATGCCAAAAGGAAGACTGTTACAGCCATGGATGTCGTATATGCTTTAAAGAGACAAGGCCGTACCTTATACGGTTTTGGAGGTTAAGCAAATAATCAATTATTGATTTAATAATGCAATAATATATTGCCCAATGGTCCTTTTCAGGACCCAAATAATCTTACACTTAAAGAGATAAATTTACATATATATGTGTTGGTATTTTTCTAAAATTATAAAAAAATAAAATTTATTATTAGCCTGATCGGTTGATGTCTGTCGAGTATAATTTATAATTAAAATGATCAGTTTAACAATGTACAAAATATTTATTATTATAATTCTCAATTTCTTTGTTACATTAGCAGTATATATGTGGACTAGCTTCTTACGGGCTTAATTATAATTCTCATTCAATTTTTTTATAGAATAAGATAAATAGAACTGACGTATATGAGTAATTTGCGGACTGTTAGATATTGCAGTTTGAAGTTTCCACACAATGGTGTGAAAATTTTCTCCATTCATTCCTAAGAGGTGGTTTTAGTGAATTCAAATCTCACACTGAATCTGAATCTTAATCTTAATCCAAATCCAAGTGTTCAACAAGCAAAATGATTGCGGGGAAAATGAAAGTGAAAAAAATTCGTATATGAATTAAGTGAATTATGACAATATTATATAAAGAAAAGAAATAAAAGAACTTGTTATTGAAATAAATTAGAATATTTTAAAATTATCTTTAAGTAATTTGCAGCGTCTTGCAAGTGAGTACCGAGTGTGGTGTGTTAGTTATAAATTAACAAGTGTAATTAGAAGCATTATATAATAATAAATAAAATTAGCATAAACCACTATTTTTATTTATTTAAAATAGAATTTAAAAATGAAATTAAGTGAATAAAATATATACAAGTGAGTATTTCATCAAATAAATGACATATTTTGATATATAATATTTTATGGTCATTACTATAATAAATAAATAATTGGATATTAAATATAATAGAATAAGATAAATATTTATTAACTTAAGAATGATGTGAAGTATTGCACATAATGTCTAAATAAGAGAATATAATTTTTTTAAATGCATAAAGAATTTTTGTTTGCTTATTAGAGATTAAATTTATAGCGCATTACAGAATAAAAGAATCTCTTCATATTATTCATGAGGTATTATTAAAAGAAATGATCGTGCACTATGACAAGGTATATTGTGCCCATTACTCGGGTTAGAATGTTTCTCCAAGTCCGTTTTCTTTAATGAAAGACAATATAAAGTCCTAGTCTTGAATATTTATGATCCATGAAATACCCTCCTAGGTGTTTATTCCGTTTGTGCATCAGTGGACACTACCCAAGCACATGGTATACAGTTTCTCTCTTCTCTACAGTATCTGCAGTCTGAGTTGGATTGAATTCCTAACTTCGATAGGTGATTATTCAATCTTTAGTGACCGGTCATTAATAAACGCAATAGGTATACCATATACTAAAACATTTTATAAAATAAATAAATAAATAATGAATCTTCTTTTTACACATATTTTGTAGCCCTAAAAAGGGCTGTTTTGATGAATTTAAAGTTTGATTTTTAAAATTATTTTTTTGCAGCAGTTTTCTTGACTGATGTTTTTTTAACGGCAGTTTTTTTAGGTTTTGCGGCCGCTTTAGCTTTTGTAGAAGTAGACTTTGGTTTAGCTGGCTTAGCCTTAACAGATCCAATCTTTTTAACACTTTTAACTTTAGCTTTTTCAGTTTTTTTCTTTTCAACACTCTTCTTAGCTGCCGCAGATTTCTTAGGTTTTTTCTCTCCAGATACCTTTGCCTTTGACTTTTTAGTACCTGCAGATGATGCAGTAACCTTCTTCTTCGTAACACCTGATGGCACCTTCTTTTTCTTACCCTCGACAGACGATTTAGGAGACTTAGCAGCAGCAGCTGATAATTTAAATGAACCAGATGCACCTTTTCCTTTTGTTTGTATCAATTTGCCATTAGCTACAGCAGTTTTCAAATATTTTTTAATAAATGGAGCCAATTTCTGGGCATCACATTTATATGTGGCACTTATATACTTTTTAATTGCCAACAATGAAGATCCGCTGCGTTCCTTCAAGTTCTTGATAGATGCATCAACCATTTGTTGTGTTGATGGATGAGATGGAGCTGCAGAAGGTTTTTTTACTTTTGTTGCCTTTTTAACAGCAACTTTCTTTTCAGGAACGGCAGTTACCTCCTTTGGAGAATCTGTATTTGCAACGGCAACAGCTTCAGACATATTTGCTTTTTAATATTCCGTAATATTCTTACTTATGAATATTTTTTCGCATTTTTATGGTAGCTTAGCTCACTTTGTACGAAGCGCCGAGAAGAGCGCATTTATAAAAATTTTTCATTAATACATATTTCTACTGAGTTTGAAAAAATTTTTCAACATTTATTATTAATTTTAAATAGACCAAGTAAATTAAACACAATTATTTAAATCAAATTAAGTAAAGAAGATATTGAATATTTTATTACATTCATTTTTATACTAATTATAATTATATAAAATATATAAAAATTGGTTTAAACTTTAAATTTTGTAAATCTATAGTTGAACTTGTTAATAAATTAGAATATTTTAAAGTTATCTTTTGTATAATTTATATATTAAATTATTTATTAAATAGTTTATTCAATTCTCTGTTAAATTATATATATGGTTTTATATATTTCATATATTTATAAATGCAAATTTAATAAAACACGAGATGCATAAAAACGTCAGTTTTAACATTTTGAATGCTTATGTTTTATCCTATTTTGAAATATTAACTCAATTTATATAAAAGTTTAAAATTTTAAAGCACTAATAGAAATAATTATAAATAAATATATTGTATTTTAATTAGAATATAAGATTATCACTTTTAATTATATCAAATAGTGTCTATTTGAGATTAGATATCCATCCATAATGTTAACATGTTACATTGAATTCGTTTACTTTAAAATATGTTTTAAGATTTTCTATACGTATTATTTTTAAAATTTTATTACAAGTTTTAAATAATTTTTAATCATGTGAAAAATTATTATATATAAACGTTATTAATAACATATCAGCAATTAAATTTATAGTTTTCAATATCATTCGAATATAACAACTGTACGTATCCTACTTAATAGAATTCATAAAAAAAAATTATATCTACATACATGATTAAAAATATATAAGAATGAAATCATTTTACTTTTTCTTTTATAATTATAATTTAATCATTTAACTTTGACTATTATAAGTATTTTATTAAATATGTATATTTAAAAAAAATGTTCTTTTTATTACTTTATAATTAAAATAAAATTAAAATTAGATGTGCGTATTCTAACATTTTTATAAGGAGTGATATACGACATAAAATGTTAAAATTTAAGATGAATTTTTTTATAAACTAACATGGATATGGATAACATTTAAATAGATACTGAAGTATATATATAAACTTGCGGCTGCAATCTTCCATAGTCATTCCTAAGAGCTAGTTTTAGTAGGTTCAAGACTCACACAGTGGCTTCGGATGTTTTCCATCTACTGCCATAAATCTTTTATAAAATATAGAATATTTTATAAAACTAATTCAGATACAAATTTTAAAAACTCTACCTTTAAATAATTTATCTATAATAATAAATATTACAATACCAAAATATTGAAATAGTAACTATGATAATAATAGTAAACATTTAGGCCGTGTGCGAGTTCGAGTATATTTAGGGGAAATAGTCAATTATGTCGGTATGGCAGCGATTGTTGGTACATACCAGAATTTCTAATGAGATAAATTAGGTGTTACCATTTTGAAAATTTTATAAGATGTTTAGTAAATAAATAAATAAATTTTAAAACTTTTAAAAGAAAAATAATTATTTTTTATATGTTTCCTTCTTTATATTATGAATATTAATGTTTTTTAATAATTGTATCACATTTATTTAATAATAAATACAAATATTTGGCACAAAATTATTAGTTTCTTGATTTCAAAAAGGTAATTATGAAACTTTATGCTATTGACCTGGCAACGTTATTTGTTTTGTACATTTTTATTAGTAACAAATATAATATTAATATTATTGTAACTTAGATTATACTACCTGCGAAGATTTATGTATCTATTTACTGATACGCGAATCTATGATAAATATTAAAAAATTCTTAATAATATAAAGGGTTAGGCGATTGAAGTGTTACAAATTACACAGAGATATGTTTGTCAAACTGATATTGCCAACTACGTCAAATTCATATGAATGACAGCTATTTATATTGTTTACAAATTACCACAAGCATTTGCGTCTAAGTTTTATAGAACTAATATTATTCGAAATGGAATTAAAAAATAAGTGTGATTGCATTATATTTGGTTGGAAAATTACAACTAGCTATTGTGCTTGAGCTCAAATATCTCAATGTGAATAAAATGTTTGTGTATCGTACCTTAAATCGTTATAATAGCTCAGGCAGAGTCACCAAATGCTATAGTGGTGGACGAAAAAAAAACAGCAACATTGCCTAAAATGGTTCGGAAAGTGAAGGCTCGA